GTTAAGGTGACTTTTTGTTGTCATTCAAATCACAATGCTAGTAATCTAAACTTAAATATCAAACGAAACAATTCAACCAAATATTGAATTTAAGGATTTTTCTGGTAAACCTAACACCTAAATGGGTCACTTTTGACCCCTCTCTCCATGACCCCTCTCACTATGACCCATCTAAAACTAAAGTTGAAAGAAAAAAACCAAAGTCCACTTGACCACAAAAAACCAACCACCCCAGTCTAATGTATTTGTTCCCATTGAACTCCCACCCCACAAAAACCGGTCTATCACTCCGTAAAATCGGGTTATCTTTCATAGAACCCCCCGGGACATATTTGTGGTGCGGACTTTTTTCCTAAGGGTGATGAGTTTTTTCTGGAATTTTCTTCAAATTTCTTTGACGTTATGAATGATAAAAAGCGGACCAGAGAATACCAACCATCCCCTCTCTCGTACTGGTAAAGTGTAGGTCTTAGAAGTAGGTCTATGTAGGTTTCTGTAGGTTTCTGTAGGGCTTGGTAAATTTTTGTATGTTGGTGTTGGTTTCTTCTAGGTTTCTTCAGGTCTCGGTAAATTAATGTAGGTTTGTGTAGGTTTCTCTAGGTTTTTGTAGGTTTTTGTAAATTAATGTAGGTTTGTGTAGGTTTCTCTAGCTTTTTGTAGGTTTTTGTAAATTAATGTAGGTTTGTGTAGGTTTGTGTAGGTTGGTGGAGGTTTCTTCAGATCTAGGTAAATTAATGTAGGCTTGTGTAGGTTGGTGTAGGTTTGTGTAGATTCTTGTAGGTCTGTGTAGGTCACACTAGACCGGTGTAGGTCTCTGTAGGTCTTGATAAATTAATGTAGGTTAGTGTAAGTTGGTGAAGCTTGGTGTAGGTTTCTGTAAGTCACTGTAGGTCAGGGGCGTAGCGAGGGGGGGGGGGGGCGGGGGGTGCGGACCGCACCGGGTGACACCATTTAGGGGGGTGACACCAAGGCAAAAAATAGCAAAATATATAGAGAAAAACTCGAGGGGGGGGTGCAAATCGAAAGTTTGAGGGGGGGGGGGTGCAAATCGAAAACTTGAGGGTGGGGTGCAATCGAAAGTTTGAGGGGGGGGGGGGGTGCAAATCGAAAATTTGAAAGTTTGTCCCTGGGAAGGGTCTCTATGCCTCTGGGGGGGGGGGGGGGGGTGACACCATTAAGTGCCGCACTGAGTGACACCCGACCTCGCTACGCCACTGCTATAGGTTGATGTAGGTCTGTGTAGGTTTCTATATGTCTTGGTAAATTAATGAAGGGTTGTGTAGGTTGGTGTAGTTTCCTGTGTCTTTGTAGGCAGGCATATGTCCGTATAGGTTGGGGAATGTTGTAGATGTAGATGTGATGTTGCCAATGATTATGTGATGTTGCCAATGTTTATGTGATGTTGGCAATGTTTATGTGATGTTGCCAATGTTTATGTGATGGTACCAAAGTTTATGTGATGTTGACAATGTTTATGTGATGTTGACAATGTTTATGTGATATTGCCAATGTTTATGTGATGTTGACAATGTTTATGTGATGTTGCCAATGTTTATGTGATATTGCCAATGTTTATGTGATGTTGACAATGTTTATGTGATGTTGTCTATGTTTATGTGATATTGTCTATGTTTATGTGATGTTGCCAATGTTTATGTGATGTTGCCAATGTTTATGTGATGGTACCAAAGTTTATGTGATGTTGACAATGTTTATGTGATGTTGACAATGTTTATGTGATATTGCCAATGTTTATGTGATGTTGACAATGTTTATGTGATGTTGCCAATGTTTATGTGATATTGCCAATGTTTATGTGATGTTGACAATGTTTATGTGATGTTGTCTATGTTTATGTGATATTGTCTATGTTTATGTGATGTTGCCAATGTTTATGTGATGTTGACAATGTTTATGTGATATTGTCGATGTTTATGTGATGTTGTCAATGTTTATGTAATGTTGCCAATGTTTATGTGATGTTGACAATGTTTATGTGATGTTGACAATGTTTATGTGAAGTTGTCGATGTTTATGTGATGTTGCCAATGTTTATGTGATGTTGACAATGTTTATGTGATGTTGACAATGTTTATGCGATGTTGACAATGTTTATTTGATGTTGCAAATTTTAATGTGATGTTGACAATGTTTATGTGATGTTGACAATGTTTATGTGATGTTGACAATGCTTATGTGATATTGCCAATGTTTATGTGATGTTGACAATGTTTATGTGATGTTGCCAATGTTTATGTGATGTTGACAATGTTTATGTGATGTTGACAATGCTTATGTGATATTGCCAATGTTTATGTGATGTTGACAATGTTTATGTGATGTTGCCAATGTTTATGTGATATTGCCAATGTTTATGTGATGTTGACAATGTTTATGTGATGTTGACAATGTTTATGTGATGTTGTCTATGTTTATGTGATATTGTCTATGTTTATGTGATGTTGACAATGTTTATGTGATGTTGACAATGTTTATGTGATGTTGTCTATGTTTATGTGATATTGTCGATGTTTATGTGATGTTGTCAGTGTTTATGTAATGTTGCCAATGTTTATGTGATGTTGACAATGTTTATGTGATGTTGACAATGTTTATGTGAAGTTGTCGATGTTTATGTGATGTTGCCAATGTTTATGTGATGTTGACAATGTTTATGTGATGTTGCCAATGTTTATGTGAAGTTGTCGATGTTTATGTGAAGTTAACCGAACAGGAAAACTTGTAATAAAACTCCTGTCTCAGCTTACAATTTAATATTTCCTGGGAAAGTGTAAGATGTACGGTAATTGACCCGAAGTGACCCCGGCTAACTATATAAACGGGGTGCTGATGGAGCCTGCTGACCATAGCACTTTACCAGTATTGAAATTCGATAACGAGCAGAGGAAATGATGAGGAGATCAGGGGCAGAGAACTCCTATTGACGAATGACGCTAAAGATCCGAGAGAACTCCTATTGACGGCCACCGCTAAGCATCTGATCTTTGAATTATTTGCTAATTTTTAAAAATGTAGTAACAGTTAATAATTTGTAATTATCTGTTATATTAATATGTATATTTAATATGTGTTTTTTTTTAAATACTATATAGAATATTGATATATCTTAAGGCAAGCAAACCATTAGTATTCGATGGGTACCCTTTGTGTGGTGACTTTTTCATCAGTGTTGGCGCACCTTATAGTTATCAACGGTAAAAGGGGCGTAATAAGGAAAATGTCCGAAAAACACGAGAGGAGTTATCTCAACAGTTTTAAAATGTATTTTAAAACAAGACAGTCTAAATATTTATAGCCTAGTTCAGGGGTTCCCAACCTTTTTTTACTCTAGAGCACATTCTAAAATATCGGTAGGGTGGCGGGCACCGCCTATTTTAAATCGACAAACTCCTTCCAGGGGCGTAGCGACCCTTCCCGTCACCCGGGGACAAAACTTTCGATTTACACCCCCCCCCCCTCAAATTCTCGATTTGCACCCCCCCCCCCCCCCCCTCAAATTTTTTATTAGCAACCCCCCTCAAACTTTCGATTTCCATCCCCTTCAACCTTTCAATAATGTTTATGAAAAAAATTCTGTTTCTGTAGAATAGTGAGAGGCGGGCACATACGAATCGTTCGGCGGGCGCTATGGCGCCCGCGGGCACGGGGTTGGGAACCCCTGGCCTAGTTGTTTCTAACCTCAGCACTAGACTGAAAATTTAAACAATTATCTTCGTCTATGTACCACGACTTTAGCAGTTTTGTTTTCCGCGCCATATTTTTATTATCAGGGTAAACGTGAGCCGTTTGTACTCTGTCAAAGAGCCACATGGGCTCCTGTCTCACATGGCTCTCGATGCCAAACTGTAAACAGACTTTTGTTCCGTTTTTTGAGCTCCCTACATTTCCAGCTTGCTGGAGCTTACACAAGGTCGAGGGGTAAACAAATCTTCATATTGTATTGGTTCGGTTTATTTATTAACTACCCAGTTGGGTATAAGTTTCCTGTGGATTTGTTTGCTTTTTCTATTTTATTGTTTGTTCAATTTTCCCTTGACGTTGTCAGCAGTAACTTGATAGTGAAATTCACCGCATCAATCTGTTGACTTACAGTATTTCGTTGGAGACTTCTGCATTTTTTGTGTGGACTTGCATATTTTCGAGTGGCTTTCATTGTGGGCTTACTTGACTTACCTAATATTGATCATGTGACTCTAAGCTATGACCAGTAGAGTCGAGGTTGGCAGCAGTAATACATAATCTAATGTCCAGACCAGGACAATCTAATTTGTACTCATGGGTGGGGTGGGAGGAGCTTATGACAGAGGGGTGTGGGCGTCATTGTGGGAGGAGTTAAAAGTTTATGGCAGAGGGGTGTGGACATCATTGTGGGAGGAGTTAAAAGTTTATGACAGAGGGGTGTGGGCATCATTGTGGGAGGAGTTAAAAGTTTATGACAGAGGGGTGTGGACATCATTGTGGGAGGAGTTAAAAGCTTATGACAGAGGGATGTGGACATCAAGTTGGAGGAGTTGAAGGAGCTTATGACAGAGGGGTGTTGACTCCCCTATAAAGCAGATGAGGTTGTTGTTCAGCTCTGACCCTCACACCACCAGTTTATCAAATATTTAACCTAAGACAAACTTTTTAAACATCTAAACAGTTATTCTCAACATCTACACAAAAGATGTTTTTACAACTGACAAAAGCCACAGTAAAATGTGTGGAATTGTGCTGGTAAACAGAAATTCTGAGTACATGAAACATCAATTTGTCAGCTTCTTCAAGACTTCTTTCTATATAAAAGTTTTTGTACCTACTTCTTGTGTTTGTGTCAATGGTATTCAACAAAATAAAATGATCGTTTGAAATGTTACAGAGCATGTGAATAATGTATTAAAATTTATGTTAAAATAAATGTAACCACAAAATATTGTATACAAAAAACAATGTAGATTATTGCAACATACTTTATTACAGCTGAATCCCATCAAACCATGACCTACAACAGCAGTATAAAACAAATGACTACACAATAGCAAATTATGACAAGTTCAAGGAAAAGGGAATAGACCAGCTGTAAATGGATCACAACACCTAGATCTAGTAACATCAGTTGATAACAGTCTGACTAAATGTTAGGTCTAGAATAAAACTATACAAAACATGAAAGATAAATAAGATTTCCTTCTTCAGGTGTCAAAGCTCTCTCAACAGCAATCAAAACTTTTCCATTAACATCAGCCAAAACTAAACAGTTCAAGTTATGTTCAAATAAGTCATCTACACAGATTTCAGGGGTCATATGAACTGGGGAGTGTGAAAGGAATCACATAGTTGAGAGCAAACTATCACTAGCTAACTATTTTTTGTAGGATACAGTAACTAGAAACTAGACAGTACTCACATGTGTGCTGATTAAAACCAAATGTGAATGTCAAATTTAGAATAGAATGTCAAGTGGAATACAAAAACTGGGAATCAAATGTCATCTGACATTTACAATACAATGTCAGACAATTTCTGGCAACCAAATGTCATGTGTGTAACAAAAAACACAAAGTAAAAATACAATCAAGTGGAATGTACAAGGAAGAACGAAATAGATCAGGCAACTTATCTAATGAGGCTGTCACCTATCTATTTAGGCTGTCACCTATCTATTGAGGCTGTCTGTCACTTATCTATTGAGGTTGTCACCTATTTATTGAGGTTGTCACCTATCTATTTAGGCTGTCACCTATCTATTGAAGATGTCATATATTTATTGAGGCTGTCACCTATCTATTGAGACTGTCACCTATCTATTGAAGATGTCATATATTTATTGAGGTTGTCACCTATCTATTGAAGATGTCATATATTTATTGAGGCTGTCTGTAACTTATCTATTGAAGATGTCACCTATCTATTGAGGCTGTCACCTACCTATTGAAGATGTCATATATTTATTGAGGCTGTCACCTATCTATTGAAACATATGAAGCTTGATAATAGGAAGACTGACAATCATGTTGCAATGAGATCAGTGTGTTTTGGTCCAAACTCAATGTAAAAACTAGATCAGACCAATAACAAATCAAATCTCATCATAGTAGTCAATGTGTGACCCATTCTGGAAGGTGTTTTTCTGTAGAATCAGCACCAGTTTCTGGGCTGAAACATCACATTCTACCAACGTCTTATTCCGCATCTGCTCTGGAAATAAAACAAGGAAAGACAAATCTGTTAAATCATTGCTCAACAAATATCAAAAAATTAATTGAACCAATTAATCAGCTTTAAATGCCAGCTGATATGTGGTAAAATGTAATGTCTATCTGGCCATATCTTGGCTTATCTCAACAAAGATGGCTTTTTTCCAGATCTTATATAACTTTTAATAACAACAAACCACTTATTTAAAATTTGTATAACAGAAGGTTTGAATCTTTTATTTCTTTAAATCTTAAAAAAAAAACATAAAGTTTTAATAAATATTCAATTAGCAGTATACTAAAAGTCTTGTTTGCTCAATAATGTAAGCAACTTATCTTTAACATTATAGCTAACTAACATGTATTTTCTTTTAAATGCATTTAATAACTAGATATTCTTAAGGTTGTATATTACAAAAAAAATTATTTAAACATTATTTTTTACAAGTTAATTCTTTGGAAGTTTAGTTGGAGTTACAAATAAATGCCTCAGTTAAGATCTTGTCTGCAAGTGATCCGATGTGATCAAAAAATTAGTTAGGAGTTTGAAATTAAAAAAAAAAGAATCTGCTGTTATTTATTTAATTCCTTAAACTTCTCAAGAGATGATGATTTACCTTCAAACCAGTTCCTAAGATCCATATCTTTAGTGTTTTTGCAAGCAATATCTGTCATATCTGTGACCAGAGGACCAGGTGCGTAGTTCAGGGTCCTCATATTGCTCTCTTCTTCTCCTATAACTTTCATCATCATATCCCGAGCAGCCTTGCCTGTATAAAGAATCAACACATTCAAAATTGATGTTTTTTTTTTGTTACTCTGCTTAAACCATTTAACCACACCACCCCCCTCCCCATCATCTTTACATGGCAACACATAATGTCACTCCTACATTACCCACTATTTAACATGACTATGGATAGTGTATGAAGTAATCAAACAGCCTAATTATGTAAATATTACAATGTGAGGTGTGCCACTTACTTAGACAAATGACGAATGGGACAGATTCATATACCTATAGATATTACAAGGCAGTGATGAGGAATCTTATATGGGGTTGAATGATAACTAAGCCTACCTATTTAGTCCAAATCTAATTTTATTGCAAGAATAGATTCTAGGTATAGATCTATGACATATTATTTGGTTATATTGTTTTTTAAAACTCTTTTGAACCTGTCAGTCCATTATAACCTGCTACACAGCTGTAGTTAGATTTTAAATATTTTATCTCAGTGGAATCCTACAATATTTATTTGCAGCTAATTAAAATAATAAATATTTCATCATTGTTCTTCACACCTCTTATTCCAAAAGTAGATAAATACCATTTGTACTTATTCCAAATATAGTGCTTTTAGGGGGTTGGGGGCTGTTTTGTCTAGAACAGCTTTTTGCATTGTATACTGCCTGTTCGTAATACTACACTACAGCTAGTTTAGATGTATGTTACTTTCTTAGCGCTTTTTTTTAAATTATTAAATGATTATACTTCAGGCTTATAATATCAAGCTTTCACTTTCTTGTGCAAAAACAGTAACAGATGGAGGACCACTTAATGTATATTGAACTGATAACCTCACAGATATATAGTCCCAAAGAAATAACTAAGCCTACTAAACTACTAGTACTGTTAACAAGAAACAGTGTTTTCCAATCAATCAGTAAATTATAAAGTTCTAAAATTTATTAAATAAGTAAATGTTTATTGATTACTAATTAGCCTATCTGTAAGGCCTATAAACTCTTGAAGGCTCTAACTTATGAGTCTGTAGTATAGAATACACATAGATAATATTGAATTGTAGATAAGCTTTGTGTGTTTTGTTATTGGAGAAATATTTTTAAAATTTGCCCAGTACCTTTTGTATACAGAATGGTCCTGGCACTATTTTCAAATAATTGCACTGATATTATGAACTGATTAGCCTTGTCATTTAAAACAATTTGAAGGTTGTAAATAGGTTGATTTTTAATTTCTTTGATAGATTAAGTCTTGTGGCAAGGATTAAGTGCCACTTTTAATTAAATTGAATAACAAAAAGAATTATATGATTTTCTTTATAACTATTAAGCCACCAACACGTTAATGTTTAGTTATATAACCTAAACAGTGATCCTCATCTTTTACAGTCAGTGCCCAAGACAAAAGGGGCTGATGCTAGAGTTCATCTCATCCAAAGACCTCAGCATACAGGGGGATAGTGTGGTCAGCACTTTGGCAGCCACCTTTGTTTCCCTAACATGTGTCAACTAGCAATCAGAGCTGGGTGGGTTAGCAGTCTTAAGCTCTACTCTACCATTTAGAAACTTTTCATTCCAGTGCATACATACGCCATACGCAGGTTATTAAAATTATAAACATTTTTATAATATTTATATATTTGTTGTTTTTTTTACTGTTGAGTAAGTTGCATGACTAAAAAAAGCTTACTAATTGAATGCTCCAACTGTATGAGTAAAAACTGTTTTTATTAATATTTAAAAACTAAACATTTAGTAAGTAATTAGGCTTTTGTCAAGGTAAAAATTTATATCAAACTTTATTTTCATCTGAGCTTTATGTATAATTTAGGTATGACATTGACGCTAGATCTAATAGGCCTAATATTAGACTAGTAGAAATTTATAATAGCCTACTTACTACTTAGCGATTTGGTTAAAATGAGCGAAAAGTCAATTACAAGATTTTACCAACAATTTACAGTCATAGATCTGGATCAGTAGATCAATAATATTAATATTTGGGATTTGCCTAATGATGCATGAGAATCAGATTATCATAAATAATTAAATATATAAGAATACTAAATGATTGGGGGGCATCCATAAATGATGTCACTTTTCTTAACGATTTTTACCTCTCCCTTCCGTCACACATCGTCTCAAAAAGCCAGACCCCTTCCCCCTAAAGTGATGTCATACCTCAGCCTACAAGCCCCCTCCTCAAAACTGCAGTTGAATTTTTCTTAAAACATCGATATTTTACCACAATCTTGTCTGAACTCTGTCAACAGAATATTTTTAACCAATTCCTATTACAATTTATTAAAACCGTTTTCTAAAACGCAAAATAATGGTTAACACTCGTTTTCTAACATTGCTTTTTTATAATGCAAAAGTGTGAAATCACACCATCTGAACTCACCCTCCCTCATCACACACCATCACAAAATTATGGACCCTCCCCCCTCCTCCCTATGAGTGTGATACTGTGATGTCATATATGACCGACCCCATTAAAAAGAAACAAGTTATTAGTTAAAGTAAAATAAAAATGACTCATTATTACTATTAGGTTAGGGCCTATTCCAATAATAATTCAATGAATAATGAAGACTTATGTTTACCCATGCAATAAAGTAACCAGCTCTTCATGGGTGAAATGGCACCTAAAGATGAAATGTTGATAATGACTCTGGAGTTGACAGTGGTTGGATTAAAAATTTGCAAGAACTTGGAAGTCAATGCGATGCAACCTGACACATTGCTGTTGAAATACGTCGAAATTGCAGCAACATCATCGAGAGCTTTAACAAATTCAATAGGTTCTAATGAACCAGCATTATTAACGAGAATAGCCTGCTCAAATTCCCCTGCATCTGCTTCTGCATTATGTAAACAGTCTTGTAAAATATGGTCGTAAACATTTTGATCAACGCTGCCCTGATCGAAGATGCCGGTCACTGCACGGATTCCGTCGTTCTCTAATATTAAATCAGCTGCACTATTTAATAATGGTTGGTTTCTTGATAACAGTATAAAAAGTGACCCTTTCGGAAGCTTGCTGGCTAATTGATGAGCTATGCTTCTGCCTAGACCTCTAGTAGGTCCAGTTATTACACATACGCTAACTTTGTTTAGCAGTGAATCGGCCATTATTTGCCGCAAGAGTTATGGTCCTTGGAATGGAGAACAAGGCTTTGTTGAAATGTAGAATCTAAATGTATCTAGGCTTGGAAATCAACCAGAGTTAGGCCTACGGCGATCGGCCTAAATCGAGTCAAGAGACTATCATTATCAATGATAACTTTTTTTTTGTTTATGGTTGTTTTCGTGTCAAACCCCAGACAAAAAAAAATAAAAGTACCGGATTAGTGCAGCTTGTAAAAATTGATGCTAATGGTAGTAATACTAATATATTAGACTAATCAATAGATATAGAATACTTAGGGCCTCTAGATCATTATTAATTTAGGCCAGTGTTTCTTCCAGACTTTTCTCTCCCGGGGGGGGGGGGGACAACGGTAAAAGTATCTATTTTCTATATTGTATATAAATTCCATGTCGATCGGTGCGCCCCCCCCCCCCCCCCCCCGAAGAGATGCCTGGATAGTGGAAGAAACTGATCTAGGCCAGATAGAGTAGGACTAATGAGTCATTAGTAATGACTACAAGTATAAGAATCCTGGTCGAGTTGTATCGTTTAATTTTTGTATTTTATAATAGACTAAAATGTTAGGCTTAGTCCTCACAATACTCATGTCAATACTTTTATTTATGGCATGTTGATGAGGACGATAAGAAATGGGCCTAATCCAAAACACAGGACTTTACAACAAAAGAGAATAAAAAATTTGCTGCATTTTAATTTGCACACAATAGTTGAAAGAAACACCTCGGCTTTTAAACCAGTCCATTTGGAAAGTTGTAGTTATTTTTTCAACTCAACAAGTAAATGGATGTGTCAGCACTTTACCTAGCCTTTTTTTCCTCGAACTTCATCCAAGTACCAATTATAGCTGCATGGACTCATTGTACTAAAATCCAGACTGCACTCATTTAGCCCTCTCCCCATGAAACATTTACTAGGTTAAATAGACCTATTTTATGATGAGAAAAATATGCTAAGATATCTGATACCCAGTGTAGCTCTTATAATTAGCCCTACTACTTGTATTAGGCAGTATCTTGCAAGAACAAACTTGATATCAGTCTTAACCACTGGGATGGAGAAAAACGACTGTTTTCTGGGAGTCCTAAAGCCCAATATAAATATCATGTATCTTCATTTCACATAATGGAAGAAGTGGTACACTCCACCACAACCCTTTTAAACTGACGGCAGAAAATGGGATATTGACATCAAGAACAATCATACATGGTTAAGATTTTAAACCATGTGAAAGATTCTACTTCCAAGGCCCACTACTTTTTTGTTTTTGCCAAATGTTTCAATCACATTTTACATGACATCATTGCAAAACTGGTAGGTAAAAAGGGTGCAAAGATCATTAGTATTGTCAGTAAAAATCCAAGTAAGTGTTAATCCCAGAAACATTCCCCTACCTCCCCCCATAATCATAAAACAAAAAGCAAATTAGAATAAATAAAACACTGTTGTAAGATGTGGTAGACATTTATTAAATTATGTTACAATAGTTTGTGGTAAAGATGTCTCCAAGTAAAGTTGAGAAGGAACCTGAAAAAGAAATTTCAAGTAGATCTAGATCTATATTGTGAATATAATAAGATATTAATAGTTATAACAGTTTTAAAAATAGTTTATTTTTAACAAACATCACAGTGAACATCACTATTTTTATATGCCACAGTAAACTACATAAAGCAATGAAAGGGAATATTCAGCTTACTATTTCCACATGCTGTTATTGTTGATACAATTAGGAATGTCTTGTTTCTGCTAATTGTCGACAGTAGGCACCAAAAGTAGAAGCATCATGATCTGATCTGACCTCATAAACCTAAGACAGATTTACATCAAGTTATGACAAAAGAACTAACCAGTATTGCAAGCCGTAACTTAAACCTTTCCACCTGCTACGGAATCTTAAGGTTTGTTTACAATTTGGTACCCTAAGTACCATTAATTACCATGGACAGTTTTAATTAGGTGTGACATTTGATGACATTTACAGAATCATCTGCTTAGAATATTTGTACAATAATTCTTGAGGATGTAATGTTCAGGATAATGTTTATTTATATTCCTAGTTGGTAAGGACCATGTCTGTAGCCTGTCAATCCAACATGTTCACATTCAATATTTTTAAACTACTTTAAAGTAGATCCATTCAGTTACCTATTACTTTTAATTTATTTTGAAGCATAATTAACTGAACAGTGAGAGATCAAGTCCTTAATCCTGAGTTTACATTAGTATTGTTCCCTTGTACAAGAATACCATACTGTGGGACTGGACTTGGAATATTTATGAGTTTTGTGGTGACTAATGGACACCAGCGAGAAAAGTCTCTAAGGTATTTGAGAGGTCCATAAATTAATTTAAAAATCATGCACAGCGTAGTTACAATTAATATGGTTATAAAATCCTGCCTGTCTGGTTTTTTTCGGACTTTACTAAAGATTGGATCTATTTGATGTTTTTAATATTTTCGGTAACTAAATAAAAATAAAAAAAAAAAAGCAAAAACAATTTGGTTTTCACGTGTAATGGTGACATAAACAATGGCATCCTGCTATTGGATAGGCCGCCATAAATTTTACTGTACACATTGTAAGCTAAAAATAGAAAACTAGGTCATGGGGTTTTAAATTTGCATTGTTATTTAAAAACTTGATCTGCAAAGTTTTGTAAACAAATAGTTATCGATCACTAAGTTACTGTACAGCCAATCAATATTTGTCTTACGAAAGTGAAACATCCGGTTATAACTTAGGCTTGATGAAAATAAATAGAAATGTAGCCTTAAACTCAACTAATTATTTTCAAGTTCTCTGGATTTGCAACTTTTATAGCATTTATTCTAAAAATTAAAAATTTCTAAATTAATTTTAGGCTTAAGTTTTTATTTTTTTATTTTCTTTTACGGTCTAAATCTAAAAAGCACGTTTTTATTCCATGTCAACAACATTATGGAAAGAATCTCGTCAACTCGCTGGTGTCCATTAGTCCACACAACACATTTTCTAGGCTTCTTAAGCCCTGATAACTGAACTAGGTTTAAAATTTAGTTAAAGGGTGGAATGAAGTAGTTTTTTGATAAATTATTAAATAATGAACTTCAACAAATCAATTTTCTTTTAAGTAATAAGAACAGAATTTTAAAAATACCTTGTAAGTTTATCTTGTAACAACACTTTGAATTGCTTGATAGCTGGCTAGTAGAGTTCTGACATCTGTCAAATTTAGAACCTGAAAAGTTGAAAGTTTTTTGTAATCAGTGTGTTTAAGACTGTAGGCCAACTCTTGTAACAAGACAACTTATGATATAATTATTTTTAAATTAATGCCTTTTTTGTAAAGCTATTCACTGATAATCCATAAAGAAGTAACAGAATGACAAACACTTGTACAATATTGTGGGTTGTCTTACCTCGTCAAGTCTAGAGTCTGGTCACCATGTTTTCATTCATGTCAACAGTTGTCTTCACTGTTTGTCTCTTTTAGACAAGTTTGTCGTTCAGCAAAGCGATTTTTTGTCGTTTTCGTTCATCTCAAAAAATTCTTGTCAATCTGACACTACTCCCTCAAACATTGAGCACCATATCAATAATTAAACCATGCTTGGTTTCAGTTCTTTTGATTACCGGATTTAAAGTCATTATAAGCTTTTTTTGACAAGTTATACAAAAACTACAATAGTATCATTAAACTACCTTAGAGCTTTATATTTGAGAAAAAATATTTTGAGACATTCATAATTAGCAAAAATAACTGTTGCTATAAGTATTTCTGTAATTTATACATTGAGTCGAGTCAGTGTTTATATTAAGGTAATTAATAATACTCTTTATTTTTGTATAACTTATGTCCTGTCCATAAGTGGAGAAAATGTCCAACAGGTTAGTGTTGAAAATGTCAAAAGTAAAACATTTAGTATGGTTATTGCAAAAATAAAATGTTTAAAAAAAAAATGGAATGAAAAGAAGTTTTTAAAAAATGTGAGAACAAATGTCCTTGAGTTTGATGGTGATTCAGTACTTTAATGCTTTATCCAAATTACAACACATATTACATAGAATCTGCAAACAGACACTACAACCATTGAGGCTATTTAATAGAAGTTTAATGTGAACAAAATCTTCCTCAACAGTGTAAACAGACAACATTTAAAAATACTAAAATTGTTTCCGCAGTGTAATAAAAATAAACTCACATAAAGGGAATTAACAGTTAATTAACTGATTTTTAAAATGCTTCACTGTAGCAGCAGGCCACAGAGGAAATGGCAAAAATATTTGCTAACATGTTAAGATTTTAGTATGAAACAATTTACAACTTAGTTAACAGTATGAGATGTCTTACTGAAGTAAATTTTTAGCACACCTGATTTCAAACTTTGCCTAAGTTTTATACTTAGACAAAATGTAAATTACAGAAGAAATAAAGAGAGAGGTGTGACAAGTAAATAACTGAAGTCCAAAAGTCTTAAAAAATGTCTTCATCCTTTGGCAGCCAGTAAGTCTTTGTAATGTCCTCTGTGTTCTGTACAATTTGTCCTATATAAAAATTGTCGGTCTGTCACCTTTGTTCATTAAAAAGATGACATGTCAGCACTGCAAGGTCTGTTAATAAGGAAAACATTCTTTTATAGTTCAATTAAACCTGAATTATGGAAGATGCTATTCAAAAGAAACCCCAGTAAAAATATCAAGATTGATCAGTACATTGGGAAATAGAATAAATGCAAAAGTTGAAGAAAATTTCTTTAGTGTAAATCTTTTGAATAGCACTATAACTTTTATTCCTAAATATATAATTTGATAACTTTGCTGTTAAAAAATTTAATGGTTCAGTTACAGTGTTCAGAAAATAAGAAATAGCTTTCAAACCCCAGACAAGTCAGAATAATCAAGCTGCTACAATCAATCCATAAGAAGTACATATGAATAAAATTATAAAAATAAACAGAGGAGCATATTGAATATTTACCCTATAATCTCTGCTTTTTTGATGGACCTTCATCACCCTGTAAGCCACCATGTGCAGGATGAGACTTTGGTGGCTCAGCTTCTAACACTTTCATCTTTTGACCAGCCAATGTCTGCCCATGAAGAGTCTCAATAGCTTTCACTGCACAGTCTTTAGATGCATACTTAGCATAACCATAATTGCGCCCTATAATAATAAATTAACAATTTAAAACATACCAGTGACAAAATTATAATACACAAATCATCTTTCAGATCATATAGTTCCATCTATTCAAAAGTGAAATCTTTCTACAAAGGTCCTCCCAATCAACAAAACAAAGTCCCTATTCTAAGATAAGCTTCAACATAAAAACAAAGCTTATGCTATCAAAGTAAAATACCTGACAACAGATAGACATCAATCAAATTTCCAAAGCGACAGAATGCATCTTTGAGCACGCGTTCTGATACCCCCGAAGGCTGACATACAATGAACAGTCTTTGGGCCATATTTTTACCATCTTCAGCCACTGTTGGCTGTGGGGGTGGAAGGGGGATATTGCAATATGGAACACGTTCCTTACGGCCATCACCTACTGATCCAACAGCATTAACACCAGCAAAATTTAGTAAGTTATGTGGATTGATGCCAGCTTTTTCTAAAATCATTGCAGCCTAGGAAAAATTAAAGCAAAGCAAGTGTTAAGATAATCCATTAAACATGTAAATGATTATGTGCAAAATAAATGGTAAATAATTATATAAAATAGACATTTTAACTCACTACTAACATACTTATACACTGGTATTGTTTTTAAACAAACAAAGCTGTTATTATAAATCACCTTTTGTCTTATATCCATGGTATCCACTGGACTGTTACCAGGCATATAGGAACCAAAGGAACTGCAATAAAAAAAAACTATCAGACAATGACTAACAAATGAATCTTGTCACATGTGATTAAATAACCTATCAAAACTGTATTAAGCTAACATGTATCTTACCCTACTGAATTATTCATAGCTGATGGCATGGATCTGAAAATAAGTGTTGATTCTAAATGAAGAGCACCTTAGTATTTAACAGCAATAATGCATGTTTAGAAACAGTAGCCAAAAAAATTCATGGTAACAAGGAACTGTAAACAAAACATGCCCCCAGCTATGTCAGAACTATTGTAAAGCTATACTTTTATTTTAGTCTGACTTTGAATACATACCTCATCGAATCGTCAGTTAATTGCACATGCAATGGACTGCCTAATGGATATTCAAAACCATTTAGTTTATCCCTGGCATATGCTGCACACTGTGGACTGCTATAACGAGCATAGGCTAAACCTGAATAATAAACAAATAAATATGAATATACAGAAAAAGCGATGAATGACAAGTTAACTTTAAAACAACAAACTCTGAGCACCAACCTGTTGTCTCATTTAGGTCACAGTATTCCATGCCGGGTATTAAATTAAAAAGTTTGGATAAGTAGCCCTGTGTCAATCCAATAGGAGCCTGAATGATTAGACGAGATCCAGTGTTTGGTGCTGGGTAGTCAGCAAGCATTTCTAATGGACCAGTCCCAAAATGATAAGCTGTAAAACAAATGTGCACATTGGTTAATTTTAGTTTTAGCATTATTACAAGTCCCTACATTATGTTCTCTGTTGCAGGGTAAAAAGACGCCAACAATTTTGTTTCTTCCCCAGGGATGAAACATACATGCTACATAATGTAAAAGATATGACACAAAGTTTTCTTAGTCACTGATTTTGTCATTTTTTTTTCCAAATATATCAGACAGGTTGAACAATGTTAGTACTGGATATTTATCTTCAAAATGCTGATTAAAATACATTAAACTATCTCAATAAAACTCACGTGGAAATGCACCCATTTCATTGTTGTAATATCCCCCACCGCCACCACCACCAGAATGAAGCTCATCTTCATACATTCTCTTCTGGCCTAAAAATTGTAAAAAGGTTGATAACACTGTAAAACAATATGAACCATTGATATACTGTTCAGCAAGAAAATAACGGAACATTTGTAAGAGTGTAAAAATTAATACCTGCTCCAGAATGATGAGAAGAGAAACCATGATTCTCTATTTCATCCCTTTCATCTCTTGAGCGCTGAGGTTCAGCAAATTTGGGCCTGAATGCTGCAAAACCATATTTAAACCAAGTAAGTACACATATTTTTACAATATGAAAACCTGTTCAACTTAGAATATAGATAAAAGTCTTATTACCTGCAAATATCAAATGAGCTTGCATAATAATTTACAGTTAATTTAATAAATATTAACATTGCTCTAATGGATATACAATTAAATCTTTTTTTTATCCCCAGAAATAAAATGTAAAGTAATTCAATAGCTAAGTGCTATTTAAAAGTAAAAAAAAAAACTCACAGCTGTCACAATTTTCAAATGCCATTGCTGCATGTAGGGGTTTAAAGTAACGGACGTAACCAAATCCTTTACTCTCCCCAGTATTTCTGTCTTTCAAAACTGTCACAGACTCAACATCTCCATATTTCTGTGCATAAAAGTACAACTGATTAGTATTATTGTATACTTTGAAAAGTAAAACAATCAGCACCTCCTTCAGTTAAAACTTACAGAACATCTTTAAGGGAAATCATTTTTTTTTTAGAGCTTGTAACATGAGGACTTTCTTGAAATGTTAATTATATCAATGATGTAGGCAAAAATAATTTGAACAAAGTACTGAGGAAAGTACAAACCGAGAATTCATCACGAAGAGTTTGTTCAGTAAAGTGCTTTGGAATAATTACAAACAGCCTGACAAGTCTTTCGTCCTCTCTTGGATCTCTAGTTGAACCATCTCTTTTGCTGTTTGCTACTACCACCTGAGCAAAACAAAGTCAAATGATCACTCCTCAAGTTTACCCAAGCTAAATGTATAAATGTTGTCACACTGCCTTTTAAGATCTAGACAATTTTTCAGGCAAAATCAATTTGTGACTATTAAATATTGTCTCAATTTTAACATGAAAATGCAGAATTACCTTCAGTCCCTTAGTTGTTCCAGCTAAAGCTCTACCATTCATCTCTTCCATTGCCTGCATCGCCTCAGAAGTCTTAGAAAACTTGATGTACACAATGCCTGCACAAACAGATGCACATTTTAAAAATTTGTTTTGCCAAATTTAAGTAGAAATCACTCTACTTGAAAAAATCCGAAGTCAAATTAGTCTAAATTTTGTTGTAGCTTGCAGCTTAGGGAACAGCTTTTAAAAAAACAAAATAAGCCTACATTTCAATTTAATTCATATGTTTTAATTGTTAAAAATGTCTTAACCCTGTCCCTAACCCTGGTCCTACCATACTCCATACAATCACAGTGGTTAGCATTGGCATTAGCAGTGGCGTAGCCAGGATCGTCTCAAAGGGGGGGGGGTTCCAATTTTTACCCGGGGACAAACTTTCGATTTGCACCCCCCTCAAACTTTCGATTTGCACTGCCCCCCTCAAACTTTCGATTTGCACCCCCCCTCAAACTTTCGATTTGCACCCCCCTCATACTTTTTCTATATACCGAGGGGTCTATGGGGGGGTTATGACCCCCCCCTGCCTACGCCACTGGACATTAGCCAGCCATGTGTGTACTGTGTTAGGCGTTAGTAGTTAGGCCTACTTACTACTAAGTTTAGTTAACTACCAGTAACCTAACAGACACCCCTTTTTAAAAAAAGGTTCCATTATCGGACACCTGTATAAAAATTTTCCCAATATTTTTTTCCAATCCTTTTTCTTGCATACTGCATACGGTCTTAGATCAATATCATATCTCGAACTGGCATACGGCACACTCGACTCCTTAAAAATAAAATTCCTAGATCTACCTCTGTCTTCGTTTGTTCTTTTGTCTTTAATGATCCAAATATCCTCAATAGTTCCATATTTGTCAAATGCCTCTCTAAACTCTTGTTCTGTAGTGCCTTTCTGACATAAAATGAAAAGTCTACTGTTTGGTGGATCATCAAGTCCACGACTATCTCTACCGTCACGGCTGTCGCGATTATCCCTGCCTGCCATTTTGTTGATAGTTAATTTCCGGCGAGTTTCAACTAGGCTAGAGGCCTAGCATAATGTATGTAAAAATCGACCTGCAGCGCCTCTACATGCGCAGCGTACGAATCGCCGCATAACTCCGAAATAACAGTTTGTGCTATCAACAAACAAACCTACCAAACCTCCCCTTGGCTTATATAGGCCTAGAGTCTATGTAATATGTAATTTTACTATTGTTGAGATTCAGGGGTGAATTGGCTGTGTCCAAGAGGCCGAGGAAATTTTCATAGAGGATATCAACTCAAGATTAAAATTTTCATTGCGCATTGTTTCCCATCTATTAATGAATTTTACGCTTTTGTAAGAAGGAATGGGAATGTTAAATACCAACAAATTGTTTTAAAAAATTAAAACACTAATAGGAATATTACAACAGGGGTCGTACATAAATGACGTCACACTCGGAGGGGGGAGGGGGGTTGGTAATTTTGTGATGAGGGGGGGGGGGGGGGTTAGATGGTGCGACGTCACACTTTTTTCATTATAAAAAAGCAATGTTAGAAAACGAATTTTAGACGTTATTTCGCGTTCTAGAAAACTGTTTTAATAAATTGTAATAGGAGTTGATTAAAATACTCTATTTTGACAGATTTCAGACAAGAGTTGGGAAAAATATCGATATTTAAAAAAAAATTCAACTGCAAGTTTGAGGGGGGGGGGGTTGTAGGCTGAGGTGTGACGTCATTTTAGGGGGGGTCTGGCTTTTTGTGACGACGTGACGTCATTTATGGATGACCCCCACAACACCATGGTGACCCACGGGGTTTTGCAGGTACACCGGTGGGCCACTCCATTCATGGTTGAGATAAACAGATGTGATGTGTGGTGTTGTTTTTTAATTTCTAGCTAGACTTAGGTTATAAGATCACTGAAGGGCTGAAAAATGCGTCTAGTTGAATGCACCGAATTGAAGTGTAGAAGTATCAAATGTATATAATATTTCACGAAACAGCCCTCGATTTAATTATCACACCTATTTTCTTCTTCTACTCTGGTTCTTATTTGTGGGTCAATCTTCTGATAAAATAAAAATATGTATATATATATATATATATATATATATATATATATATATATATATATATATATATATATATATATATATATATATATATATATATATATATATATATATATATATATATATATATGACAATCTTTTCAAAACTAAGTTAAAACAACAATTATTTAATGACCTCCTTAACTGACTAATTGCAACATTTCTCATTCATCTATTATATTCTCATTCTATCTCATTTTGTATTATATAATGTAATATTATATGTCTTTATTCCAAAGTTTAAATGCTATGTTACTATTATACTCATTTGCTTTATATAAAAATACTGTTATTGTGTTAAAAAAACGGTCAATGTGAAAAAAAAGGCCTCCGTTACCATTATTGAATATGAATACATTGAATAAGTGAAATAAATTGAATGAAGACCCCCCCCCCCCCCCTTTTTAAAGTGCATCTGCTACATATCGAGTCTGTACCGTGAGTTAACCCCCCCCCCCCCCCCCCCCCAAGTGCACCTGACACATAAAGAGTATACACCGTGAAGTAACCACGTGCATATCGAGTATATGCCAAGTGCATCTAGCTATGCTATTACAAAAAGATGGAGCAATATTTCTCTCTCGGGTTACGACTAGGGAACAATACAATACAAATCCCACCCCGCCCCCTCTCTAATGGCAGATGACGTAATTAATGTGGCCTCGACATCTGAGAGGATTGTGTGACCAGCACAGGCTATAGCCGCCCTAGTTTGGGCCGACATCACGTACACATCAGGGGGGGGGGGGGGGGTGGTAGGAAGGGAGGGAGTCATACAGTAGCCCAGATCTAGTTCCACTCTGGTGAAGCAATGTTAAAGCAATGTTAAAGAAAAGTAAGAATTCACATACTTACGTTCCACGAAACTAACTTTATATGTAATTTAGGCATACATTTTTAAGTACGTTGTGATCATTTAAAAAAAAAATTGCTTTATAGGGTTGATTTAATCGTTTAAACTAAACAACTAAGCTAAGACAGGGGTCGGCAACCTTTTGAGCGGGAAGAGCCAAAAGTTACAATTTACATTTAAGTTCCCAACCACTAACATTTTTATTTCAATATTTCGGCATTTGATTAGGATTAGATATATACTTTTGAATTTTGATTTGAAATAAATAGCTTTAAATCTGAAAGAATATTTATACTTAAAAAGCATTACTAATATTTCGCACTAAACATATTAAAGCATTTTACCTAGCTCTGCTATGATAAAATGAGTTATCAAATAATATAACTATACGACTATCCCAAATCCAATTTAGGAGCCAATAACTTTTTTTTTCTTTCTTTACGGACACCACGGGCTCAGCAGGTGTCTCCCATAGCCCGGCAGCCCTAAATACGGTCACCCACGACTACTGGCTTGAGTATCTTCTGTCTTCGGTTCTCACAGGGCTTATCTTCCTACCCACTGAACGCAGGGTAAACTCGTACCCCACCGTAGGAAGCTAATAACTTAAAAAACACGTCACTTAGGTCAATTTTATGCATACTGGTCGCTAGAGATATGCATTCTGAATAAGAATAATATTCCTCATTTAATGATATTCGAAAAAGTCGGCAGTGGCAAGAATGGAACCTTCGCCACGGAGCTGGCTACACCACTGTTGTGGGGCTGGGTCTGGTGCACAAGCTGCTGTCAGCTGTCCATATCATTTCTGCCTCCCCTACTCTCATTGTTCTCTGATGAGTGTTTTTATCCTTTTTAAAGTTGTTTATCTTTATAATAATTTTAATGAGTTTTAAAAATAATATAAAATAATTATTGTGCATGAAACTGGAGAGCCGCATCCTGACATCAAAAGAGTCGCATGCGGCTCGTGAGCCGTAGGTTGACGTTCTTAAATAACAATTTTTAATTTTGCCTAAAGTAATATAAGAAAGTGCTATTATTTGTGACCAATAAAACATGTACGAATCCACAAGAGCATCTGCATTAGGCCGATATAAACAGTTTTATTGATTTAAAAATAATTATTTTAAATGCATTTAGGCTATTTCACAATGCCCGTAAAATATTTGAAAAACATAAATAAAAACAACAACATGAACTTAAACATTAATCGCAATCATTTGATGCATTAACGCGTTTTGTTTTGATTGCACTATTCACATGATTGCCTCCCTTCAGCAAAAAAATACCCACTAAGTTGCCCTTGTTAAACTGTTTACATTCTTTTCATTTTTTAACAAGCTAGTTATTAAAACCCATCTTTACAATGAGATAAAAAATTTGTTCTGATTTGGCCTTGGAATTTTTCATTCGTTAATTAAAAAAAAAATTACATTGTATTTTATAATTGATTTTTCACAAACAAATAAAATAGAATAAAAAGCCTTATAACCCTGAAATCGATGGACAAGCAATCCCAACTGGCCACTTTCGCTGTCGTCTTCAACCTTTTTTTTTTCATGATAAATTAATCAATGTCACGTGGTACACGCGAGACATGCGCAATAGAAAGGTTTAAATACAGAACACGTTTGTTGATCATCAAGAAGGTTTATTTATCTAAGCTGCAAACAAAACATCTGGTTAGTGTATACGAGCCTATGATGTGCTTTAGGTCAGTCCTGGCTACTTCTTGGCCTCACTGACAGAACAAAAAAGTAAAGTAACCCTTCGGACCGAGATCCAAACTCGAGACTATCGCGTAAGCAGGCGTGCACTCTAACACCCGACCAGACTTAAAATTAAAGCACAAGATACTTTTGTATTTACCCATAAAAACGTAATCTAAAGCCTACTTTTTACCCTAGGGGTACATGGTCCTAATTGAAACAACAACCGTATTAAATATGTGTTGGTATTAGGTGAGCAATGATATCGAAACTCAAAACGCTGTTGTTTAAAAAAACAACAACGTATCATGAGTCCTGCTTTGTACACCCTCGCTCAACTGTACATCACTAAGTCGTATCGTTTGCTAAATAATTAGCTTCTCATTCACCCGTTTTAACGTCCATTTGTCGTATATTGTATGGTGTTGTCTGCACATTTAGGACAAATAATGAGGACAGGTAAGACACCAAGATGTTGGATTTTATATGGAGACACAGTAACAGACCGTGAGTAAAATGCGAGCATGTGAACACCAGTCCACGACACACATAGTGAACACCATCCACGACACACACAGTGAACACCATCCACGACACACACAGTGAACACCATCCACGACACACACAGTGAACACCATCCACGACACACACAGTGAACACCATCCATGACACACATAGTGAACACCATCCATGACACACATAGTGAACACCATCCACGACACACATAGTGAACACCATCCACGACACACATAGTGAACACCATCCATGACACACATAGTGAACACTAGTCCAAGACACACATAGTGAACACCATCCACGACACACATAGTGAACACTATCCACGACACACATAGTGAACACCATCCACGACACACATAGTGAACACCATCCACGACACACATAGTGAACACCATCCATGACACACATAGTGAACACCATCCACGACACACATAGTGAACACCATCCATGACACACATAGTGAACACCATCCACGACACACATAGTGAACACCATCCACGACACACATAGTGAACACCATCCACGACACACATAGTGAACACCATCCATGACACACATAGTGAACACCATCCACGACACACATAGTGAACACCATCCACGACACACATAGTGAACACCATCCACGACACACACAGTGAACACCATCCACGACACACATAGTGAACACCATCCACGACACACATAGTGAACACCATCCATGACACACATAGTGAACACCATCCACGACACACATAGTGAACACCATCCACGACACACATAGTGAACACCATCCACGACACACATAGTGAACACCATCCACGACACACATAGTGAACACCAGTCCACGACACACATAGTGAACACCATCCACGACACATATAGTGAACACCATCCAC